AGTGATCGATAATTTGGACAAAATAACACTTTATAATACATATATTCTTTTTGAAACACAGTGTATTTATTACTTCAATTGAAACTGAAGGGAAAGAGAGGCGCATACTACAAAGCAATAGTTTTGCTGTAGAAAGTTATCGTAATCACTTTCTCACAAAACTATGAATCATAAGAGAAATTATTCACACTTATTCTTTAATGGGCAGAGAAATTATTCTAATAATATTTGGCACCGGAAAAAAGTACGGAATATTAAACCAGTTCTTCTGATTTTAAGTGAAAATAATATAAAGGAAACTAAAACATATGCCCTTTAGATATAAAAAACACGTCAGTATTTCTAAAATAGATACTTATTACCGTAATTCTTTATTAAAATAGTTGCTTACTCATGTTTCTCAACGGATGAATCCAGGAATTTTACATTATATATAAAATTCACATTACACTAAGGTCTATTTTAATCATGAAGTGAACTGTGTTGTAAGAGATTAGTTTGGATTTTACAGTGTACTAAAGTGTGATATGTGTCTACTTTGTATGCGTTTTAACTAGGATTACAAAACATCTTTTCTTGCGACCTTAAGTTTATACCTTATAGCCAGATTTTTGAAATATGCGGAATATCTGGGGTTTTACTTTCCACTATTTTACAATAAAATAAGCAAAATTTAAGAAAAGTTATCCAAATTGTATTTAATTAAATTTAAATGGGGTCTCTTGGAAATTGAAAGGTTGAAAGTGCCATATATAATCTCTGATGTGTTACACTAAATATGCATAATATCTAATGCGTCACACGTCATCGTTTCTAGGACTTAGTTGTTTTCACATTTAAAAATATCTTACAATTCCAATCTTACAATTCTTACAATTTCTTATACAATTCCAATCTTACAATTCTTACAATTTCTTATACAATTCCAAAGGTGAAGGAAGGTCCCAAATAAAATAAATGATTTTTATCTTTATTTCAGCTTGCTCCAACTTTTAATTATTTATTTTTTTACAAATTATGATTTAGCTTGAAGATTTATTTCTTTTCCTTTCTTCACTTAAAGGAATAGAAATTGAATTATTCTTGCAAACTGGATATGTATTTTAAAGATTTATGCAATGTTTTAAGATTTTCCTAGCTAAACTTGGATAACAATAAATATCTTAATTCTGATCATTGTAGTTTTTTTTTTTTTTTTTTTTTTAATTTCGTCAGATCTGAATTCCTTTAATCACCAGCACAGGTACTAATTTTCTAAAGAATAGCTTTATTCGTTTGTTCTTGTATGGTAAATTAAATCACAGGATTTCAAAATGAATTTTATTGTGAACTTTTCATTTTTTATACGCTGCGCAGAAGCTTATTATTATTTTATTTCAGATGTTGAGTTGAAAAAATTCTAATAAAGCAGTTGTCATTTATGTATTTAATAGTAATTTGCTAGATTTTTTAAAAATTTTCAGTGAGAGAAACCTCAAATTCACCTCAAAATTTAACTAATATTCAATTTAAATTGTAAGGATGATTTTTAAGTTATGATTCTATTACTTATCTTGATTTGACACACAAATTCATAATATTAAGTGAGGATTTTACTGATATCCACTTTATGACCTACCCAATTATCCACGTTAATTAATATCCAAATAATAACTCAAAAATGGCACCGTGTTCCATAAAATCTAAGTTCTGCTGTCTTTAAAAGTATGACATGTAGTATATTGTTTAAGATAAATTCTAATTATAAGTTACAGTAATTTTCGATTTTTCTTCTCGAATAGTTTACTTCATTATTAATCACGTAAGAAGAATGATGAATAAACTCCACATGGATAATCAGAGGTTAATGCATTTCGTTTTTGATTTTTTCCCATCCATTTTACAATGGCATTTGTTTGAAATATATAAAGAATAAATATTCATGTAAAGGCAAAGTATGTATAAACTACACTGATAACCAGTAGTCCTATTTTTCTTTTGAATTCTTTAGCTTTAAATCGTATAAGGTAATTTGTGCAACATTCAAGATATCCTCAAGTGAGTTTTCAAATGTGTACAAAGAGATGAACAATTAAGAATTTTTATTTTTATGACCTAAATTGTCTTGGTATTTATTTTCAATTCTGGAGTTTTTCTAGGTATTTACGTACTAAAATAAGGTTTTAATATATATTTTACTTACTGCATTCATTCCTTGGCCATAGAAAGGAACCATGGCATGTGCCGCATCGCCTAGTATTAAAACTTTATCTTCGATGTGGTACGGATTACACTGAAAGAATTATAGTTCTTTTTTAGTGTTATGAATTTTTAGAATTTTACATTAAATAAGTTATCTATCGAAAACTTACTTTTATAGAAACTAATGCAGATGCAGGTGTTCGAAAGAAATCAGTTACTAATTTATCTCTGAAATAAAAATAACATTCAACGTTTACCCTCTTTGAGAAGAAAAACAAAATTAAAATTTCTGCTAAATATGTATAAAATTTACCTTCTGCGTAAATAACACATACAGACAAAGATAAATAAAAAAAATTAAAAATAATTTAAATTAGAAAAATATAGCAAAGCGCGGTTTATTAAATACGACTAAGTTCTTTGACAACTTCAAACTAAGCACACATCACCATGATGATCCCACATGCATCTCATCCAGAGGACAGCCACGTAGAGATTTGCATCATAAGATGGATCGGCAGGCACAGAGGTTCCATCGTCAGGTCTAGAACCGGGGGGGCATTGCAACTCCGATGAGTTGGAGGCATACGATAGATTTCAGAAGAAAGGAACATTGTTGTGATAAGCTTCGCCCTTCGACCCACTGGGCTAGCCGGGCTTGCGCTCAAGTTTAAAATTGAAACTTAATTTTAAAATGTCATTTCCAGCTTTGCAGAAATGCAGATTTTTGTCAGAAGAAGTCAGTTTAGTTTCAAACTTATAAGGTAGTTTCTCCCTCCTTTCTGCATGCCTTTGTGTACACTCGATGCGTATTCGAGAGGTGAGTCCCGGCGAAGGCATTGCGCATTTTTAGTGTTTCCTACTTCCAAAAATTCTGATGATTGTACAGTGAAGCCCGAACAAAAAAGGTGGTGGATGCTGATTCTTCACCACCAGGATTTGACGACTGGGTCCACTAATCCTCAATCGCCCTTTAAAGGGGGACTATATATAAGGTATTTTTTTCCTCCTTTCTGCAAGCTTTCGTGGTGTAACGGTAGCATACTTGGTGCGTATTCGAAAGGTCCGGGTTAGAGTCCCAGCGAGGGCATTGATTATTCTTCGTATCTCCTGCTTCGAAATAACCTAATGACTATGCAAACTAATTACATACAGGTAATTAGAGGACGACTAAAACGCAGCGTTGCCTTTTTTTTTCCGGGGGGGGTAGGCGAGGAAGATAACTGTTATTCTAGATACAATTTGGTATTTCATTTACAAATGAAAATAGAAATATAACTTCATTTATTTGTCGTTATTAATCAAAATATCATAAGAACCAATTAAGTTCTAATTATTTTAATAAGTTCTAATTATCATAAGAACCAAGGAAAGTAGTTGTATCCTATCAGTGTGATAATTCACACTGTTAGGATACAACTACTTTCATTATAGTAATCATTAAAGATAATGATTTAAATGCGTAAATTTTTAATTTCTACATGTAACTAAATGTTGGGGTCGTTGGATTTCAAGAAGTGCATTTTATTTCGGAAGCGTTTGTCATAGCGTTTGAGGCTGAATTCGAATCCCGGAGGCGTAATGGCAGACCGCACATTGAATTGAACAATGTTAAGCAAATTTCGCTATTGCGCATGCTGATGCGTACCTTGGCGCGGGAGAAATTGGGGCGACTAAGCACCTATACCTAACTATTCTTGATCACCATGGCTGTCGACTGTGTTCGAATGATGTTTACACCTATAATTGTGACTTGCTCTTATTATTTTAACATCTACGATTGCCCTGCTTATTTTCTAATATATATTATGTAGGTGGTCAATAACAGGCATTTATAGTTGTAACATATGTGCGTAATATCGTTATTGATGTAATTTGTTTACATTTATAATTCAGTATTGTAACTGAATCTCGCTTAGTTTAGCTATATCCGCTTTTATTTTCTCATTCAAATTTAAACAGCATTAAGGATGGTAAAGTCTTCATGTATTTGCAGCACTTGTATCTCCTCGGTTCTTATGATGTACAATGGAACGGGAAATCCTGAATATTTTATATTAAAAGATATAATAAAGTTCACTGTTATCAATTTCAGCTTCCAAGAAATGAAGTCCAGGATGGCAGATCAGAGTATTAATTTTACACTGCTTCAAACACTGCTCTTACTCGCATAATTCAGCTCTAGTGTGGGGCAGTACAGCAAAAATAGATTTAACACAGTAATTATTTACATTTACTTATACTCTACGAAGATTTAAACGCCAGATTTTACAATCAGGGCGGTACATCTACCAATACCGTAGGGATTTCAAGCGCCAACAGGTATACGCCAAATGTTTCTGGGGAGCGCATATGCGACTCGGTAACACTGTCAACTCAATTGCGGCGCCATTACGCATCCGAGAAGGTATGGAAAAAAGGAAAGACTCATGATCCACCGTTTCATCCCCCCCCAGGAGATCAGGAGGCAGGAAGGAGGAAGGCCATTCCGCGCTAGATGAACACTGCTTGAAGCTTGGGTCACCAGACGGGGTTTTTTTTACATTCAGAAGCTCGCTTGACAAAATTCTGATATATTTCGACACACGACAGTTCCTAGAAATCGAAAAAGGGACACTTTCGCATGAAAAGAAACATTCATAGTGGGATGGATAATAGCAATTTGTATAGTTTACTGACATTTACGCAAAAATCACATCTTGGTTATTTTTCGATAACTACACAGCGATTTTGATTATGAATTTGTTTTATAAAATTCTAAGCTGTTGCACTAAAAATATAGATTTTAAGAAATTGCTAAAAGAGATCTGCCAAAATTTATTTTCTAGAAGATTTGAAAGTTTGAAAACTTGAGGCTAAATGTAAATATAAAATTATGTATGTTAAAATATTTGTAATTAGGCACATAGGTCAGATTTAAGTTTTAAATAGAGTAACGCATGCAAGGGCTATCTGCCTAAAAGAGAGATGCCATCGTGGGGGAATTTTGAAGAAAAAAACTGACCTTTGAGTGGGTATTAAAAATAATACTTATAATTTTCATTCAAATTATATTCATATATATTTTTTATGTAAAACTTTCGGGTGTATATGCTAAATTAGTGTAAAGTACTTTACACGAAAAATATAGTGAATGCACAGAAATTAAAGATTTGCACATGCCGGAAATGATAAATAGGAAATATGTATGGGTATTTATGCATGTGCTTGCAAAAAGCATGTATCTGCCTTTGACAAAATACTTAAATATTCATTAAATTATTATAAATGTATTGAAATGAAGAATTATTCACTTATAAACAACTGTGATAGTACTGTGAAGAAATCTAATGATTAAATGTATCTAATTTATAATGATTATAAATGTTATCTAAATATATAATAACCTTAATATTGAATTGTAAAATAAATTGAATCCTGTTGACAAATAAGTTATAAAATTAAGCAAGAATTGTTCGTATTGGAAAGCAATCTGTTAAAAGGTATTGATTGTAAAGCAAATGCTATGAGATGCGCACTTAAGAACGTAATAAAGAGTTTTGGAATATGTATTGTTGAAATGAAGGATAAAAAGAAAAAATCTGATAAGTATAATTAAAAGAATTATTCCTTTACATTTATAATAACTCAGTTACAAGTTTTAAATAATACTTTAAAAAAAAAAAAAAACTTATTTTTTCCTTTCAGAAATGTTCAGAGAAAGTCAAATACTATTTTCCTATAATTTTCTAATTTAAAATGAACCGAATAGAGCATCATTATAAATTGACTTACATTTTTCGATTTAAAAGAAGCCAAAAAATCATGTCATATTTAAGAAAGTATTTTAGGAAGAAGCTCTATAAATAGAAAAGAAATAATGCATAATTTTAATATTAATAATACAATAAACTTTGATCTTAATTTTTGTACCTTAACCGAATAAATCGAACTACCTTAATTTTTTTTTCTAATGTAATTAACGAAAACTTGTGAAAATATTTCATTCAAATTAAACCATTCTGAGAAAAGTATAGCATTTAATTCCGTTCAGAATGAAATGTTGTTTAAAAATATGTTGTTTTCCACATACTTAGGACTCTGAAGTGTTGTAGAAAAAGAAAATATATACATTTATATGTATATTTGCGACGTAATTACAAAATATTTACACCCGAACGCGTCAAATCCCATAGAACTCAATGGTAAATGACCCAATGTTTTGGTCACCACGTAGGGATCGCCGGTGCTTCAGAGCAGGGTACGGAGAAACTTGTTTAGGGCGACTCCTTCTTACTTCCTACCTCCATGAGGAGGATAGCCATGAAGGGCAACTGGGCTTTCATTCTGTAGCCTGCAAGATGCCTAAAGCATTGTCTAACAACAAGTGTTTCCTTTTCGACCGCGATGAATTAGTCGATCTCATCTAGACTATGTTTATATTAGAAAGATAAGTCACAACACAACAACAACTACGAAAAACTGGTTCATATTTGGAATTATAATAAAATTTATTTATTTACCTGCCAATAAGGGTTACAGCATCTGGAAACTGCTCAGAGAAGAACTGCAGAAGTAGCTCTGGCGTTGTCAGTTTATCGAACATTTCAAAAGGCATAAAGAGTGTGACCGTATATGTTTTGTCTTGATTTGGCAAGGCGATGAGCATGAAAGTATGTCTGGGCCATATGTGAAGATAATTTTTTTCCATAGCGAACTAGAAATATTTTTTCATTTTTAGAATTTTATCTGTTCTATATTTAATTTAAATTGAGTAAAATGTAAAAAAAGAAGTGATAATAATAAAATTCATTTTACTTTCCTTATTAAAACAAGATTCACCTTATTTTTTTCTCTGCTTTTGAGTATTTTAACAAATTCTGTAAAAATAGATTTTAGCATTTCTATAAATAAAACCTTTAGTTACCAGAAAAAGCATGAGAAATGTTCAGCGTTCTTTCACTTGTGTTTGCTTGATAACGAACACGGAATTTTGTTGATATCTTTTATTTCAATATTTTTTATATAATTCTGTTTAATCTTTTTAAAACTGTGTTTAAAATTTTATTGGAAAATAACATCATTATTTCCATTAAAACTTTTTAATAATTATACTTATGAATAATTAGAGATAATAAAACAATAAAATTTTAATAAAATATGAATAAAATTTAGTTAACAACCTAATAAATTTTACAAACAAAAATTTTAGATGTGAATCTATGTTTCTATTTTTGAACCACTCTGTGTAATATGCTTACTTATATGTATGGGTAATTTATGCAGAAATATTTCCAAGGTCGTAAAAGAAAATACTAGTTGTAAAAATGAAATAATTTTAAGTGCATCGACGGAAATAAAAATTTCGTTATCAAAGGAAATAAAAATGATGTAAAAATATTTATACATAATGTTTCTAAAACGGAATACTGACGGGTTACAACATTTTTCACATACACTTCTAAAAGAACATACTATCTGCAACCATCCTACAAGAAAATAAATTATCAATAATATACCTTATTGCATCCAAGGGAAAAGAATGCACTGTAAAAATAAAAAAATCAATAAAAGTAAAGTAGACTTGACAGAAATTTCGGGGAGGATATCTGATCTTCCGGCCTCAATAAGTGATAGACATGTCGAGTGCTTATTTAAATATAGAACTAGAAAAATGGTTGTAGCAATGGGTTTTTTTTTTTTTTTTTTTTTTTTTTTTTTTTTTTTTTTTTAGTCACGCGAAATTATAGGAAAATGGTTAATGCTGGATGGCAATGCGGGAAGGGATCCACACGATCTAAACTTTCAGTGACTAGGTTCCACAAAATGTTTAGATATTTATTAAATAATGAACAAAATTAGTCTAATAATAGAAATCAAGCACAGCGCGTAGATTTTACTATCCAATTTTACAAATAAGAATTAATGAGGAACAGCCCTGAATGATCTTGCAATCTGTGGACGTACATTTCTTTTCTAGAAAAATCTTTGAATTCATAGAGTTGCTAAGTATAGTGAATTTCACAGACATTTAATATGCCCTAAAAATCTTTTTGGAGTCCTAAGGTATTATAGAAACGTCTGCCCTAAGTGTACTTACTATATTACACAGAGATTAGAATGGGTTGAGTTATTTGATTATAGTAGGAGGGTTACTTGCATAAGCGGAGATTTGCGTTCGTGGACGAATTTACGGAACACTATCTTTATGTTATACATAAGGACTATCTTATATACGACTAGCCCCTACAACTCTCAAACATTACTTTTACCGAGAACAGAGCGTAGGCCAATTACAAGTATTTCGCAGCTTTAATCACTCAGTCATTGGTTGATCTAATATGCCGTATTTAATATAACTTCCTGTATCTCTTCTAATGCCTTGAAGCTCATTTCTAAATTTTACCCCGTCTTTATAATTTCACTGAAAAACAATATTTATTTTGGAGTTTGCAATCTAATTTAGAAATGAACTCAGTCGACTGCAAAGAAAGTCAGCTTACAGATCAAGGTATGATACGCGAAGCAATGATTCGCAATTCCTCACATTCCGAAAATTACAATCTATGCTTTTATTGCTCCCAGTTTTCAACCTCATTTCTTGTTATTGTGATTCTCCTCTCCGTAGAATGGTGTTTGAGACACCAGGGTGCCTGAACCAAGGCTCTACCCCTTGTAGAACAGTTTGATCATTTCGAAAGGTAGTATACAATAACCGAAAGATAAATCGAATAGGTTTTTTTTAATAATTTTTTAAGGTCAGCTAAGAATATTGTTAACGTATTAATATCAATGGAGTTGTTGTCTAAATTAGTGCAAGCAGAAAAGTCGAGAAACTGGTGACTGTGACAAGAATGAGGTAGTGCAAACATAGGTAAATTGAATCCATTAAGAATTATCAAGTACACGACAATCAAATATTAAGACATGAACTTGAAATAATTATGTTCATTATATCTATACATACACAAAAGTGAGAATGCAGACAGAAAATTTTAAGTGTAGCAGATAAAGCATGAAAAAAATACATAAATAAACACATATGTCAAATTTTAGAGTTGCATATTACATGATCCATACTTTAGTTGGGTCATAGGCCTATCCATATTTTCCCAAACTGTTATAGTCGTAATCACAGATTTTAATACTGGGATTATCAATATTTTGCTGCCTTTCATGAAATTTTTTGGCTAACTTATAATAATGAGTGCGCAGTAACTCAATGCCTAACTCTTCATGTATTATATTATTCCTTATATAATAAATTGTAAATGCTGAATGGTAATTCAGCATTTACAATTTGTCGTAGAACAGTATTCTGGCAGACTTGCAATCTTTTCCTATCAGTTTTCTTGGTATATGCCCAAACTGGACTTTCATAACACTAAAGTGGACGTAGAATGGACTTGTAAATGAGTAACTTGTTGGCAATAGATAATATACTGTTTCGAGCAATTAAGAGGTATAGTTTGGCTTTACGAACTCGGAACTTCTGGATACTAGATGTAATGTACGGGGACCATGTAAATGACTTATTGAGGATCACCCCAAGATAAGGGACTTGCTTGGCCCAGGGATTATCAGTGCCATAGAACTTCAGGTTTTTCTTCAAATTTAGTCTTTTTCGCAAACATAATAGCTGTTTTTTTTTCTACGATCACGAGGATCTTCCACCTGGAGAGCCAAGTCTCTAGCGTGTGTATGGAATTTTGTAATCGTTGTATAACTGGACCTGGAAATGCACTTTGTGCGAGGAACACTGTGTCGTCTGCATACATAGCTCATGCTGTGTAGTGTGTGTAAGGTATGTCGTTCACGTAAATATTAAAAAGTGTGTCGACAAAGATCCTTGCGGACGCGCCAGCCATGATGAGATGGCTTGTGGAATTTGTGCCAGAGACGTGAACAACAAAATGTCTACCGGTTAGGTAGGAATTAATAATGTTTATGATGTAGCCCGGGAAGCCCAGGATGTGTAGTTTGTAAGTGAGGTCATCCAGCTAAACTCGATTAAAAGCCTTGGCAATGTCGAGGAACAAACCACCAGTCACTTTCCGGTTAGCCATTCCCTCTGCAATAGTTTCTATCACTCGGAAGAGTTGGTTGGTCGTGGAGAGATGTCATCTGAACCCGAACTGATGCGGAATAATAACATTGTTGGAGCGCAGAAATTCGTTGATTCTTTTGAGTATAGCTTCACATATTTTGCTTACTGAAGATAATAGGCTTATTGGTTTATAAGATACAGGTTCCGACGCAGGTTTACCAGGCTTGAGGATAGGTATAATACTATCTATAAGCCGTATGCGTCTACGCTACGAATGGATAACTGCTTACTCCAAGCAAAAGGTGACAGCATTTATTTCTTGCAATTTTGTAACTGTTGTTTTTGGCACAAATAATTCCACTGTCTGGGATCATACAAGTTTCTCCTCTTATTCATACACATTAAAAATGTAATTTCCATTGTGCTTCCATGATTCTTTCTAGTGAGGATCTTTTTTTAAAATGCAAAGTATTTATTTTCCAGCGGTTCTCTAATATTGCACTGCTCTTAAAAAATAGAAACCTAGAAGAAATGTAGCTATTACTTTTTGTATTTTCAGTATAGGATAAATAAACAAAGAATAAATTATTGGCATTTCAACCTCATTGTTCATAAGTTTAGAGGTTATGGAATGATAATTCGAAATGTACCCATATGTAAAATAACTTAGATTATTTTTATTAATGCTCTTGTTAACGAATAAGAATGTTTCTATATCGTATAAGAGCCGTATCAACGGTTTTATAAGAATAGGAAAGAACTCAATGTTCTTTCTACGATATAACCAGGCGAGTGAGCGAAATATTCTTTTGTCTGAAAGAGTATGCATGAAGTGGTTAGAAGAAAGAGTATAAAATGGGGGGCATAGTTCTTAATGTCATGCACAAACATCGCAGGATGGCAGAGGAAGGGATGTCTTTCGCTAACCATTCTGCATACTGAGGCATCAACAACGATAGATAAAATATTTGCTAATGCCGTCTATTACAGTATGACACTGCTAATTATGCTTTGGACTATGGATCGTTAATTGTGTTTCAGATTTATAACTATATTTTACAATCACACAATAAAATGCTTTTCACTTTTCAACACCTCTCATGATAACAATAAATTGTTTCTCAGGAAAAATTTTATAGCTTTTTTTTATAGCTTTTCCCTTTTTTATAAGCTAAACACATAAAAATTGTAAGCATATGCATATCTTAGTTACGTTTCTTATTTTTCTAATTTACATAATTCTTTGACTTTTCCTCTACTTTACTGCTATTGTTGAGAAAGATATGTGCATTGGAAAATTTCCTATATTGCATTTAAGTCAATATCTTTAAATTAAAATTTAATTCCTCACGTATTTTCAGTCTCTTTTTTATAAATACGTAAATTTGAAGTCTTACCTCTCCATTGTCAGCAGCAGGAATACAAAGTTCTAAGTAACCATGTTCAATGTAGAATTGACTGTAATTGAAACGAGGTTTTTTAAGCATCTGACGCCGAACAGCAGAATAAGCTCCATCGCAACCAATTAATAAATCAGCTTTATCTTCTTGAACTAAACTATCAGGCCTGAAGAAAATATAATTTATGAATACTAATTTAAGATAGGACAAACTCTTTAATTAAACATGTAATTTCTTATTTTTATTAAATACGTTTCTTCATCCTAGCTTTCTTAATAAAAATAACTTTTAAAAATCTACTTATTTAAGTCTACATATTTGCACATTTTTTTAGCCACTATAGTGTTAGAATATAAATGAGGTTTGCAATGAAGCTAAAATACTTGCAGTTGGAATGTGATATTTTACGATATATATATATCCCTTTTTGGATGCCAAGAAAAATGGAAAGCGATTCTTTCTTCGAAATGATAATCTCAAATCTTGTACAATCATTAAAATACATTTAGCCATCATTCCTCTTTCAAAAAAAAAAAAAAAAAAAAAAAAAACAGCTATTTCATTTTATGACGGCGAAGAATGGAAATGTTACGCTATCTAACGAATAATAAATTGTCCAAAGCCTTAATACATACAGATAGCCTGTCTTCTATGCAAGCAATTGCCAATTCAGAACATACCCCCGCAAATAGCAGGCATTCAAAAAAGTCTACGTGAAAATGCTCACAATCATTACGTCATAAATGGATTAAAGCGCACACAGGTATTTATGGCAATGAACTTGCATACGGCCTGGCAAAAGACGCCGCACTGGGAACAACATTACTACAGTACAGATCCCATGGCCTACCTCATATCTAAAAAAGACCTTGCGGCAAATTGTTTGCAATAAATGGCAGCGGAGTGGACGAACAGCTTAACCGGCAGAAGAACTTTTTACTTCAAGCCCAAAAGTAGATTTACAGAGACTTATCGCCAGTCCCCTCTTGGTACGTTACATATCCGGGTCATGGCCCCTTCCCACAGTACTATCATCGACACGCTATCACCAGCACTGACGAATGCATCTGTGGCAGAAGAGGGCACAGCAGACCATTACATCACTGCATGTCCCCTTACAGAGGACCACCATATTGCCATTCCTATAACGGATAGGCAGGCCTTCTGCAGGTTCCTCGTTAAGCATAAGCCAACAATACGCCAAATCACTGTCGTCATGTCAAAGCTAATGACACTTGGCACAGAATTGTGTCAACTGCTTAATGTAACTTATGGTGTCAAGCAGCATAGTGACTACTACTACATAGGAATCACAAATTTATGCATGTACTATGTCTATTTTTCACATCAACTATTTATATACAGACTGCAACCCAATCTGCAGATTACCTTCCTGTGGCAATTAGTAATGTTACAATATTTCAACATAGTGACCTTTCTTCATGTATATTACATGCCAATTAATATAAACCGCATTATATAATAATGTGTGTAGTATGTGAAATGCGGTTTGTAATATGCACTATGTAAAACTTGGCACAGAATTGTAAGAAACTGCTTAATGTATCCTTCAGTAATTGTAAACTGTACTATTTAATGTGTGTAATATGTACCATGCTAATATTGTATATATTAACCATGCTAATATTTATATATTATGTACCATGCTAATATACTAAGTAATTGTAAACTGTAAATGCGTGTAATATGTACCATGCTAATATTCTAAGTAATTGTAATCTGTAAATGTGGTGTAATATGTACCATGTCTCAGTAATTATGTGTAATATGTACCATTCCTCAGTAATGTGTGTAATATGTACCATGCTAAACACTCTCAGCACTTAAACTTAAGCACTATGCAATCTCTCACTAAATGTTTAATGTACTATGAAATGTGTGTTATATGTACCATGCAAGTATCAATTAATATTATTAACTATTAATGAACTTCTTAGTAAATATAATCAGTCTTATGTAATGTATGTACTATCTATCATGCAAGTCTGTAAATAATAATGAATGCATAATGTTAACCTAAGTACCTAATTAAGTATGATTACGTAAATATGAACTCAACGGATGCAACGTACCTTAAACATAAGTTATATTCAATTTCCAGGTAAACGCAATATATAGTATGTAATGTGTAAAATATATACCATGCAATATGAATGTTTATCAAGATGCAATATGAATGTTTATCATACAAGCCTGGATTTGCAAGTCTGAACGTATTAAGTACTTTAAAGACAAGTATTCATCAATCACTCAATAAATGTAAACTATACTATAATAAGCAAGTAATATGCACCATGCAAGTATTAATTAATATCATAAACTATAATTAATTTCTTCTTAGTAAATGTAATCAATATTATGTAATTGTGTACTATGTACCATGCAAGTCTGTAAACAATAATGAATGCATAATTATGTTTAATTAATATTAAAATTTGAACCTTGCGGATGCAACGTACCCTTAAACATAAGTAAAAACAATTTCTGAGTAAATGCAATATATAGTATGTAACGTTTGAGAATATGTACCATGCAATATGAATGTATATGCATCATCAAGCAAGTTTGAATAGGGTATAGAACATATAATAGTCATGCAAGTCAGAATATCGTAACAGTAAATGCAATTACCATGCAAGTCAGAACATAACGGAAATTAAGTACTATTAAAGTTTCTCAGTATTGTAATCTGTACTATTTAATGTGTGCAACATGTACCATGTTAATATTATTGTAATATGTAACATGCTAATTTTCTCAGCAATTGTATTTTTTTTTTTAATTGTAAATTGTAAATGTGTGTAATATGTACCATGCAAATATACCCCATGTCTCAGTAATTGTGTGTTATGTACCATGTCAATATTCACAGTACTATTTAATGTGTATAATATGTACCCATTCTAATTAATTAGCATGCCACTATTTAATGTGTGTAATATGTACCAATGTGTGTAATATGTACTATGCAAACTGTAAATAATAATTAATGCGTAAAGCCAACCTATGTGCTAACCTAAGAACCCAACTATACATACTTATAGTAAGAATTGAATCAAACAGGTGTAAAGTACCTTAAACATAAATATTAAGTACCCTAAACAAAGTATTAATCAATCTGTCAGTAAATGAATGTAAACTGCACTATGAAATGTGTATGATATGTATGATATGTACCATGCAAGTATTAATTAATATTATTAATTAATAATTAAATTCTTAGAAATGTAATTTGTATTATGTAATGCGTGAACTATGTACAATGCAAGTTTTCTCAGTAAATATAAGCTGTACTAAGTAATGTATATAATATGCACCATGCAAACCTGTAAACAATAATGAATGCGTAGTGTTAAACTATGTGTTAACCTAAATACCTAAGATGTAAAGTACCTTTAACATAAGTATTAATCAATCTCTCTGTGTGTAATATGCACCATGCAAGTCTGTAAATAATAATGAATGCATAGAGTTAACCTAAGTATCTAATCATGTATAATTAACGTAAATATTGAACCTTACGGATGCAAAGAACCTTAAACATAAGTCATATTCAATTTCCCAGTAAATGTAATGTGTAATATGAAATGTGTGAAATATGTACCATGCAATATGAATGTAAATGCACCATGCAAGTATGAATAAGCAAGTCCGAATATGGTACGGCATGTGTAATAGGCGTGCAAGTCAGAGTATGGCAATATGTACCATGCAAGTTTGAATGGGTAGCGATAACCTAAGTACCTAATTATGTCATTCTAGATAAGGGCGGGCGTGGTGCTCATACCAATTAACCGTAACGGTAGAGGGATGGTGCCCACGTCCTCCGTCACTCACTCACTCACTCAATTCTTATCAACTAACGTACCATTGGTAGGTTCAAAGGTGTTGAGATCAGAGAACAATGTAAAACAAGGATGATATTCAAACTCATTTCCATAGTCTTCAAACTGCTTTACCATCAGTTTTGCGATATTAACTGTAATCCTGATACTTAGGGTCCTCTTCGGAGTAAAATATGTGAATAATTGTGCAGGATTTTTGTGCCAGAATATATCAACAGACCTTTGCAGTGATATGACAACTAAGAACAATCAGTGCTCCTACAGACTTCCAGTTACTTCTATGCAAATCGCTAACAATCGACCTCCATGTTCATTCGGGCCCTAGGCATAATTTTTGAATAAATTTGATCATACGCCTTTGAGGGAATTCTACTCTCATAATTCTCCCGAAAGAAGGAATTCAGCAACAAGGGGCCTTTTTCTAACAATATACATATTGCATTGCATGTTTTCTTAATTTTGCGCTCCTGATACTATTGAAACCAGTGTTTGGCACGGGGGCTAATTGTCGAATGATTTTTTTTATAATAGGCTGATCATGAATATTATTCCAGCGAAGCTCTCGACAAGCGTTTTAGAAGAACTGTACGAACTGAGGACGATAATGAGTTCTTATTTAATTGCTGTAGTCATTGTTTTATGTGATAGTTATGGAGTTCTCTCTACTATTCTAACTTTCAAACAACACTTCCTTGATTCGACAGTTACTTGATAGGATGAAATCCTTCCCTTTTCTAAGTTACACAGGCATGATCTTGGATACTATAGCCCTCCAAGTTTCAAAAGTGTTCTGCCGCCTGGGCAAGAGATAGACCGACCAGACAAGTGCGAACAATTTGTTCTCTTTTCAGTTTTCATATATCTCTTGTTTATGTTTTAGAATTCCCAATTTTTGAAGTCAGTTCTTTTAATATAGCTGAAAATCTGAACTTCTCATTCCGCTACTATTGATAAACTCGGAAATTATTCAGAGTTTGCAACCGGAAATATAAGCAATGGCTTTAAATTTTGAATGCTCTGTTTGTACGTAATTATATATTTCGTCGTACTATTTCTTGATGAGTTTTAAATTGCCGGATTTAGTATCTGTTTTAATTTTTCTTTAGCTAATTCACAGTATTTCACATGCTTCTTTGTTAAGCATTCTACTGTTAGTTGCAGACATCTCCTGCTTTAATAAAAGTTAACTTTACATCATTTCGCTTTTAAAAGACTTTTCCAGTACCAGTTTATTATTATTATTTCCAGTACCTTATTATTATTATTATTATTATTATTATATTTCCAGTACATTTTTATTATTATTATTATTATTGTTGTTGTTGTTGTTGTTGTTATTATTTGCACTAGAAGTTATAAAAGAATTTCCCTTGTACGGGGAAAAAGAAGTTGATGATAAAAGGTGAAATTATCGTTCAATGTTTGTTTTACGTAATGTTTGAAAAAGAAAAGTATAGCTTTCATAGAGAAAAATCATGTGTGGTTAGAGAAGTTTTGAAAGGAAAATATGTTAGTCCAATTCAGTTAAGCATACCATCCTACAGATTCAATAATTTCACACCAGTCGACAGTTGATATTGGGGCAAACAGAGAACGGAATTATAGTGATTTAGCAGATGCAAAATGATGATCTCAGTCTTTCTTCTGCAAAACACTAGCCTCCGGCCTTCAAGTACGAGATCTCTAATGACTTAACTCACCATCGTCCTGCCGTTATTCCTGAGCAACAAATTGTGTACGGTTTTGAAAAGTAACATTACACTCTCTCTCCCACTCTCTTTCTCTCTCTCTACATATAAATACTATATAACTTCTACTTATTTATGCATATTTGTACTGTATATTTAACATACCGTTCTTAGTTTTGTCATTATGTTTGGTTTTATGCATTGTTTAGCACAATATATATTATTTATTTTTTAAGTCCTGGTAATGGTCACAGTCAAGAATTCCCCCCATGTTATTGAATAGTAGTTACTGCTTCGCTTTACATCACTGAATTACAAACAGTGGGTAGCTATGAATATTTTACCGTAAAATTTTAATCATTTTCATAAAATAGCGCTAGATTTTTAAAACCCAATATAATAAGAAAACAGCATTACTTATACAAATTTTCAAATATCATTATTTCCAGTACCATTCCATTAATTGTTAGCATTTTCTATACGATGATACTAAAACATTTTTAGCTACACTAATTACTAACTTACTTTTTCATAAAAACACTAATATAAATTTAAAATCCATAGCACTAATATATATATATATATATATATATATATATTGATTGACGAAGAGAGATGTGAATAATTTATTGTACACAATGAAAATAATGTATCGTACACAAATTTAATGCGTATTCTTTAAACAGATATTATCTATCTTCAGAGGTACCGAGACGGCGTAGTTGAAGTGGTTTTGAACGTTCGTACATCACTTTTTTATATAAACTTTATGCTGGATTTAATGTTCGAAGCAGTGGTGTTTTTTACTTCTGGATATTGAAGAGATTAAGAGCGATGTTTCATATGAATGCAGAATAGAATAAAATTAGTTGTCATAGCAAAGCTTAATTCCTTGTTCGTTCATATACTTATTTGAATTGTGTAGATAAGCTTTACTTTGTGACACTCCTCATTCTGCGCAGATGAACTTTCAGACTTGGATTGCTGAGAAAGATGATGTCCTTGTCGACTAGCTTTAGTGAAGCAGACTAAGCTGTAATATTGCGCTGAAATATTGATGGCGTAAAGTGTTGATGTAATAGAATGTTGGCCAATAATGAAGAGGAAAACCTGGCAGCAGAGGCAGATTAAATATTCCTTTTTATTTCAATTAACATTTGCGGTCAAAAATAATTTGGTACATTTGTCGTGGTTGTTCCAGAACAGTTACATTTTTTATTCTCTTGCAATAGGAAGAAAAGGCATGATACATGGAATATGGTACTTGTGAATCCAAACGCTGTATATAATTTTTGCAATTAGTCGCAGTAAGAAAACTGAATATTATAAATCAGAATGTGGTATATTTCTCTTTTTTGTTTTATCGTATTGCAGTTTAAATTCTATGTACGATTTCTGGAAAATAGCAAAGCATATTTAATTTATTATATTTTCATTTATCTACCTTTTACTATAGCCGCCGCTCAGGTATAGTTACATAGTGTTATTAAGTTGCTGATCTTGGGTTTTTTTTTTTATTTTTTTTTATTTTTTTTATTATTATTATTTTATTTTTTATTTCTGCATTTGTAAATATTTTCCACAATATTTTCCCTTATTAATTTTGTTGTAATAACTTATTTTGCTAAAATAATTTCTCCATTTACTTACAGTTCTAAATTTCTGGCTGATGAAAAATTAATGTTATTAGATTTAGTTGAAGCAGCTTGAAACTTAAATATTTGGATAGTATAAATGCTTCATCCAGAATTTTTATTTGGAAAGGATTTAACTGCAATTCCAAACTGGGTATAAATGCTGCATCCGGAATTCTTATTTGGAAAGGATTTTTAACTGCAATTCCAAACACTAAAGCAATTATAAGATCTTTTAAAGATAATTCACGAATACGGTGTAGTTCTATCAGTCACGAATTTGAAAACTTCGTGCACATGTTTGTAAGACTATTTTTAATACTCCCAATTATTGTTGCAGAGGTGCAATAAATTTCGGTCAACTTTAAAAAAATAAGCAACAAGGCCTTGGTCAAGAAAAACTACCTAACACAGATATTCTGTCTACAAAATATTATTTAATCAATAGGAATACATTTTAGAAAAATATTGAAGATTTTCCTTCAATAAATGCAATATTGAATTATAGCATTATGTTTTAAAAATTAATGCAACATTTTGTAGGTAGCCTTACATTAATTAAGCAGTTATTTATAATTTCAGACTTTACTATATCTTCTACTTTCCAATTCTTCACCAGAATGCAAATTAGTAATGAATATGCAAACTGAGATTTTTGGATTTGCGACAGAGAGCGTTTCTGGCATCGCGTGCGCGCTAAGTGATTAGTTTCTTGCCACTCTAATAGTTGTAATTATTCAGCTTGGAGGTTGTTTTTTTTTTCTCTCTGCCGAAACTTTAATTCTGATACTCCGATAGATTTAGTGAGACATTTTCCAGAGAATATTTAATTGTATAGTTTTTGACTAGGGTACAACGTTTGATTTTATTTGGAATGTTCTATTTATTTTGTGTCACGACGATTTGCCGAAATTTTGCACAAGAGGGTGCCCTTACATTCTAAAATGTGTTTAAATAAAAACGTTTATTTTAACCTTCTCTAAACTTGTCGTTGTTCTCAAACACAGCGATAATTCTCTTCACGTCTGTTAGGATTATAGGTAAAAATTAACACTACCAGATTAAGTATAAGCCTATAATCTTTCTATATTAACTGCATCATAATTTATAATTTTGAAAATCATTTATTTTGGCTGATTATTAAAACCGAACTTCCTAATCTTCTTTTCATTCTAAACTATACAATTTTTGTGCATTAGTTTTCTGGATACAAAAAACTGCAACTAAAATTACTACAAAAGTTAAGGTATTATGATTTAAAACATTTGCTGAAACAAAAATATACAGGTATAGTTGATTTTCACTTTATAAAGAAGCCCGAATTTACTCTCTTGCCTATTCAGAGCCTTTCCTAAGTATTGAAAAAATACTTAGGAAAGGCTCTGAATAAGATTCCAGCCTTTTTCCGCAATTTTACTAAGGTTTAAAATTAGGCAAAACAACAGCTTTAATTTAGCGTTGATTTTGAATAAAACTCTTTCGATTTCGAGGTTGATCAGACCTCTTCTTCAGAAGCAAGTTTTTTAATTGGCAAGTTTTATGCCAAGTTCTATTTTCGCCCTTTCCTTCTCCTGAAGGAGAGATAGTTGTGTCTGATCACCCCAGAGATCGGCAGCTTTTTATTCAAAATTTACGTTTCTCTTCTAATTTGAGCCATATTATGCATGCATATATTTGCTTTTGTGAGTCATTAAATGTAAGCGCATAATAATTCTGTTAAATCAAAAAAACTGTAATCGAAAAAATTCTTACTCTAAGACTTTGTATTTTCCCTCTTTAAAATCGCAGTCCAAAAATTTGTGCTTGAAAAAGATTTCCACGTTCGAGTTCTTCTCGGCGGCTAAAATATATACAGAAAGAATGATAAGCAAATGTTAACAACATTATAAAAAATACAAAAATTCACACATACGTCTTTTATTTAAAAATAGTATTTACAAACTAAACTGCATTAAGCAACTTCACGGACTTGTTTTTCACAATGTTTTATATGAAATTTACACACTTTCAGTTTTGAAAATAAATAAGTAAGCAACAAGTTTGGTACAATGTAAATCAATCAGCTATCTTACTTTACGTCATAAAGTTGTCATTTTGTCGTTTAGTATCTCTTAGCCAGTGTAAATTAAAAAAAAAAATATTTATTTATTTAAAATAGGAAATGATGTATCACTCGAGGAAATCATAATTAGGCTAATATAAGCCTGTTGGCTCTCGCATGCTATTTTTAAGGCTTGCATAAAGGCAGTGATATATTTTAAAAACTTTTCTGTATAATTTCAGAAGAGCACAAAGGTACGGCTTCTAAAGGCGTTGAGGACGTTTGACGAAAGCAGATTTTGACATTATCATTGGCAAAATCTATCTCTTGCAAAGGGGCACATGACCTTGACACAAATTTCAGGCAATGCTGTTTTTATCTGTTACGTGAATTCTGAAATAATACTTGATTAAAAATAATACATTTTCATTCATTAAAAAACTCACCTGTCAAAAGAGTTTCATTCAAAAATCTTCTACCCACTGAATATATACACTAAAAAACAGAGAAGCAGGTTCTTATTCATTCTTGTTCAACTGTAAATGATATAAAATTTTTATAGATTTGAATGAAGATAAATCAACTACGATATTTCAACTACGATCAAATTTATTTTGATTACGAGAAATCTCTCTCAGGTGCAGCATTTAAATGTTTATTAATAAGACATAACTAAGCATATATAGCACTTCAAAAAATGTTATGCTCTTTGAATGGCACTAGTTTTAAATACATATTTTAAAAAAAACGCGAAACACACTTTTTTTTCCCTTTCCCAAAATTTTCAGTTTTTATCTGTAAGATGCTTGCAGGGGAGTGCTGAAAATTTAAGTTACTAAACAGCGATCTTTAACTACTTAATTGCTTCTCATTAATAGCAAATAGAACGTACTTACTGCTTAAATGTCGAAAATTAACAACAGGTGACTACCATTACCCTTTCAATCACAAATATAAATGATTTGAATCACAAATATAGGTGAAAAATCTGTGCTTGAAAAAGATAGTGCTTGTTAGATTTGCTTCGTTTATAACCAAAATTTCTGAAACATTTCCAGATTGCAAAAAATGTACTTTCGATATTTCGATCTATAGATTATTCCTGGAATACGAAAATAGGCAGACATTGGGCTATTCCATGCATATAGTGTATGAGTGGAAGATTATGGAGTTTTCTTGATTCTTAAATTCTCTGTACAATGTCAGGAATAGTCTTGTGTTGTGTGGGGCATTATTACATCTAAACCTCAACTGCTACTTGAAATCTGTGCATATATATGTAAAATTTGTCAGCAACCAGTAGGAAAGAAAACATTTCATGAGATTCCACTATGATATTAAACTTTAAAAAAATATCAGGAAAACAATGGAGTCATCGAAATTTCTGTCTGGTCCATCTAAACGGTCTGGGGAAAGAGATCGAAAAAAATGGTCATAAAACTATCAACAGACGAATGTCTTCATAATTATCAGACGGAGTTAGACGACCAACCGTACGCAAAAAAGTTATAATTCTTGCGGAAGATGGGCAGATAGACGCATGGCGAAAGTAGTTTCCAACAAGGTCAAAATTAGGGAAGAAATAGTTTTTCCAATTTAAAGTCAGGAACGAAAGATTATCTCGCTTACTGTTAAGACTCACCCTTTTTCTTTAAAAAACTAAAATCAGAATAAACTGGCGTCCTGAAAACATTGACAGCACATGCTGTCATCAGGAAGCCAGGACTATCTCGGAAAACCCGGACATTTGGCAATTATACCTAAACAGAATACCAGTATCTGACAGTCAGAAGTCAAATATTTCGACTGATTAACATGCGGCATCTTCAGCTACATAGAAAAATATTATCGTTTCCTTGGCTTATCATTACATTTCAGTTTCGCCAGTCGTATTTTTCAAGTAAATTGTGAGATTAAAGAGCTATTATGATGTAAATTGTGTAATGAGTAGTAAACTCCCGTTAATTTTTATTCCTCTTCTTCTTTGAATTTCCATGAAATCTGCACCAATCAGGATTAAATGTGCATTAAATCTGCACCAATCAGGATTAAATGTTCTCTAAAAACACTTCAATCATGGCCGAAAATGGAACAGACGATGCATTACAAGATCTAATTGAAAAACTATTAGCATTTGATTTTTTCTGAAAAACAAAAGGGTAAAGCAAGCTGTTCTTCAACTAATTTGTATAGCAAACATAAAGATAAAAAGAAGGAAATTTTATAAATTGCAATTCAAAAATTCTCCTTGAATGCTATAAAAAAAGAAACAGTAAATTTTCAGTTTATTTCAATCCTTTTAAATGAAAGAACTGCCATCTGTCAAGAAATCCTACTTATCCACATGCCTTAGATGTCTAAATGATAAAAGAGAGCGCTAAGAAATCTTTACAAGTGTTTCTTACGTAAAAGCCAATTATTCTGCTAAATTAATATGTGAGCATGTTGAAAAAATTGCAAGCGAATTCAGATCTCAATCAAAGTTTATTGGACATATCTATAATGGAGCAGTTGTTATGCCAGAAAAATTAACTGGACTACAGAAACGAGTGTAAGAAAAATATTCGCAAGCTCCTTTCACTCATTTCCGTAACTATATTTTTAATTTGGTTTTACAACAACCTGCATATGCTAGTATTAGAGAGGGTCGAATATTTTTTAAAGTATTAAATGATGTATCTGCACTTCCCTCTCTCAGCATCTACAAAAGGAACTCATGCGTTTAAACGTTTCGTGGATAAAAAGATACATAGAGATGTACCTACAATATGCAACTGTGTTGTTTACAAATCTCTAATTATATTTTAAGTGTTATGTTCATACTATTATTTCCATAGGGCAAATAATTTGTGAATCTTCAATGTAAATTATTTTTAAATATCAGATGATTTTATTATGTTTAGAAAAACTGAAATCCGGGACTTTAAAGGCTTTTATACTTTATTATTTAAGTGTTAATATACAAATACATAACAACTCAATCTCAAATACACATAAGCTAACCCCATTCATCAAAATAAATGTATTTAAAATTCCATGTTAAATAGAATGCCTTTTATGAAAAAACAGTCTATGTCGTTGCTAATACACTGGATGGGACGCAATGGAATCTAATTGCATTCCTTATCCTCCATATGCCGAATTTATAATGCAAATGCTTGATGCACAACTCACTCCGTCTGTCAGCTACCAGTCACAAATGAGACCATTGAGGTGCTTCAGACGTAAGAGATTTTATTTAACCGAAGACGATATCATGCAAAGGCAGCTATTTGTCTCTGCATCAGTCATGCTTCAGGTATTGTTTCAGCCATTGTGTTTGCTAACAAAGATTACCGAATCAATGAGTGCCTTATAAAAGCGACGTCAAATCGTATATAAGAAGACTTTTTGTTGTGCAACATAATTTAATTCTTAAGTTGGAACGTTCTTGATGTGGCCTTACTTGATGATACTTAACAAATTCGTGCGCGCGAAAGATAGCTGTCCTTTCCTTTGGCGGGTAATGTGGCCACTGAGATTATTCCATGCCAATGAATTCCTCCTAACCAACCCTTGACTCACTTTATGGTCGCATTCCATCCAATACAAGTTCAAGTTCCTGTAACGAATAATCCCAGTTTCTATATGCCAGAATATTTTTCATTCAAAGTACTTACTATATAACTTCTATGTTTGGGCTTATGTTTTAACTTCTATGTCGAGAGGCACAACTTAAACCATCTGTGTACAAAAGCAGGGAGTAAATGCAGGAAGAATATCTAAGCAACTCGCTGTTCTATTTTATACTTTTCCTGAGGAACGTTTTTAGAGCATTTGATTTGTGTATGTCTTGAACTACCAATGATTTATGTGTCCTTTCATCATCATGTGAATTTCGGATAGATCTTAGAAATCTATCGATCTTCTTGATACTGCAGTTTTAAAGGTCAGAAATATATTTCATTATTCTGATTTTTACTAGCACAAGTATTTTCATCAAAACCTTTTACATGAACTTTTGTTGAATTTATATGTAATGTGGGCTCAAAAGATATATTTTGAAAGGAATATGATATTTATGCTATAATAAAATGTTGTATCTGAGAAAGTATTTTTAGAAATATGTATGCAATTATTTAGAAAAAAGTTATCATGAGACAGAGTTTCCACCTTTCCAGTTCTAAATCATGTACTCCTGTCAAAATCTAGACACAGATATTTTTCAGCTGGTAGATTTTGATCTATTGAAAATGTTGGGGATTTTACTTCTGTCTCTAAAAGACTTAGAAATACCGCAAAATTAAAAGAATAAAAATGCATGAAATTGAAAATAACTAAAAATTCGTTAAAAATGAAAATAAAGAGAATGATGTAATGAACTAAATTTACTAAGACTAATTTTGAATAGACGGAGGCGGAGAACATTTACAAAGGTCTTATTAGCCACTTTGAGCTTAGAAGTCATTTACCGAATCTAAAGTTTGTCAATTATAATGCATATATTATTATATTATGCCATGTTATGGCATATAAATATAAAGACAAATATATGGATTACCTGGCCTTTTCTATCGTATGGAACAGGCGTCCGTTTACCATCTAAGGAATGTATCATTCGACCTCTCATCGGAATGCCATGCTTATCTATAATCTCTTCTTCCAATCCCGCCAAACGAAGAGCTGATCGCCCTCTCACTGAGAGAGCTAAATTAATACTCCGACCTTGGACAACCTCCATTTGCCGAATATCTGTAATATTTGACATTTAGCTGAAGAATCAAATTAGTCAAAAGATATCAATAAAAAGCCATTTAAATCAGTAATACAACCTTTGCTCCAAATTGAGTAAGTTAGAAATTGGCAAACATTAAAAAATTACGAGTATGATATAAATTTATTATACAGTGTGTCCCGTAAATGTTGCGACAAACTTCTTGGGGAGCTAGAACACATCATAAGGATTAAGAATTGCATAGGAACCCATGCCCGGAAATGTCAGGGGTAAGTGGTAGCAGAGATAGAAAATGGGAAAGGAAACAAGATAGTGGTTAATTTGAAACATTTATTGGACATAATACAAATGGTGTACGACAGCTTGAATGTTACAACAGATGCTCGAAGTTTGCACCATCAGACGCCAAACATACCTGACACCGACGGACCATTAATTGCCGAACATGTTCAAATACACCGAGAGTTCCTTTGATTGTAGCAGCTGCATAGGCGAGTCTTGCCACGAGATCTGTTTCTGACACAACAAGATCGTGATACACAATCCATCAATGCGGGAATGATCTGTTCAAATGGCTACGAACATCCAGTCCAAAATAAGCAGGTACCCTATCATGTTGAACTACATGTTGCACATCACATTTGGTGGAACATCGTTAAGCAAGCCGGGAAGAATCTCTTCCAGAAAGATCAGATAATTCGCGGCATTCAACTTGGGTGGTAAAAGGTAGGGCCCGGACTAAGCAATCACTGACGAAACACGCCCAAACATTAACTTTGAAGCGTTGTTGTGCCGCACACCTTGGGGTACAAGCGACATTTGTTTATTTCTTGAGCCCACAAATGCTGATTGCGGTGATTAAATACGCCATCACTATTGAATGTGGCCTCATTCGGGAACAAGACATAGCTGGGAAATTAACATCACGGGCACTTTCTTGCAGAAACTACTGTGCAAAATGCACACGTTCAGGATAGTCATCCGAGAGCAGAAACTGAATCTTTTGGAGACGAAAGGCGTGGAAGGACTCGATGTTCAAGACACGCTGGACACGGGTACGAGATATTCTTAATTGAGAGGCAGTGGCACGTATGCTGGTCCTTGGATTACTCTCCACTGAATCTAACATACTTTCTTTCCTAATGACCGAGCTAGTCGATCTTGGCCTGTTCTCACTTGTCCTGCCACTTCTTAATGACCCGTAGTCACACAAATTTTGATGCAGACGTGCAAACAAACTGTGGTGTGGTTGATGTATGTCGGGAAAGTGCTCTCGATAAGTGCGTGCAGCGGCTCGTCCATTACCCTCAGCTATTCCATACACTTAATCCTTTGTTGCATCATGTCCACTTTAGGAGACAAAAGTTTAAATTTGTTTATTCTTCTGTAAATGCCTTAACAGATTTCATTCCTGTGTTTATTCATTCTATATTATTAGAACTTTCAACTGTCGGTCATAGATGGCTGTATAGCATCACTAAGTAAAGCATTGCTATTTGGAAAATGGCTACTACTTCTCTTTCCAAATGAGTACAATTTCTCATAGTAAACATTATATAATATTGCTTACATTTTCTTATACTGCCATTTTTTATTCATAATTAGTAATTTTACACATTTTAGTTTAAATGTCAGTTTGAGAAAATTGTGGAGTAGGTAGATAAAGATCTACCGAAAAGAGTTAATTGAAACCCAAATGTACTGCTTATCAAGCCAAAACACCACTGGAAATGTTTATGTTTGGCAAGAAATTTCTAGAACATTTGACATTTGAATCCAATAGGTACAGGTTACAAAATCGTAGCAAAATGAATTCAATCACAATCGATGAAATGAAGGTATATTGGGGGATCTGTATGTACATGTCAGTTGTAGATTTACCATTTAGAAGATGGTAATGATCACTGCAAACAGAGCAGGAAATGATTTCAAATGCAATGAGCGTAAATGGTTGGGAAGAGATTTGTATGCATGTACGTATATGCATGTTGTCCACTGTAGTGAACAAATTGTGGCAATTATTTAAAACGAAATTTGAATAAAATTAATTTAATTTATTAATAAGGTTATTTTAAGTAGAAAAAATACAAACATTTTCGTTTAACTTCTCTAGATTATTTGCATGCAACAAAGGGTTAAGTGCATGTCTGCAAGCTCTCCATTCGTATAGCGTTCCATGCTCTTTGTATGGTGCCTTCCGCTCGAATGAGGCAATCCTCACTTTCTACTAGCACTCTCCTGTACAGCACCCCTGACGGTGTACAGTGACGTTTCTGGGCCATGGGTTCCTATGCAATCCTTAATTCATATGGATATGCCCTTCACCCTTAGAAGTTTGTCGTACCAAGACGTAGTTAGATAGCTTTTTATTCACTTACAGATAAAGGGCGTTTATCGAGCTCGTATTCATCTGTAGAACAAAATACATACTCATAGTGCAACTGAAGTCGGTATACGTTTTCGCAGGATAGACAAAACTGATAGAATAGACATTCGCAGTACAAGAAGAATTCTCATACTTCTTATTCTGAGAATATTTCATTTTTTGTCTATCCTGCGAAACAAAAGTTTTTTTCCGCGTGTTTCGATTTCCCTTTTAAGAAACTGCAGTAACTTTGAATAAATTCATAATTTGCCTTCCTTAACGTAACGATTGTATTCCAACACGATATGTTCAAGAATTAAATTTACTAAAATTGCAAAAAAGAATCACACCAGGGTTGGTAAGTTAAGTATCTACGATGATACTTAACTTACTTCTTTGATATCAAAACACTAAGTAAAGTACAGTGATAGACATAAGTGAAGACACACTATGCATTTTCTCCAAAAATGGGGAAAATTTATTATTTTTATCAAAACATGTATTATTTTTGTAATACGGGGAATATTATTACGATAATTACAAATTATTAAATTAAGGTTAAAATTAAGGAACTTGCAAAATAATAAAACATTTCAACTCATCAAAATGAAAAGGGGAAGTACAGTGAAGAAAATATCTTAATAAAATGTGTAGAGACATTAGGTATTTTTTGGAAGCAGACAAAATGAAAAATGAGCAATCGCTTTCACCGGGAATCGAACCACGGATCTCTGGAATACCGGCCCAGCTTGCAGAACCACTACATCACGAAGGCACGCCAAGAAGGTGGGAGAAATACCTTAAAAATATACTCAATAATTTTGCGGTAAATCCTTTGTGTTTGATAACAGCCTTGGGGTTATCTAACATGGAATTCACGAGTGTTTTTGTTTTCAACTTATTTACATAAATGTGCAATGAGATTTAAGCTAGAGCATTGAATTGAATGACTGAGAGTGTAGAGCAAGGATGACAAACTCGCGGCATGCGGCCCACAACAAATATTTTTGCGGCCCGGCCAATATATCGGCAAATAATAATATATAATAATAAAATAACATGTCGACAAAGAAAAAAATGAAATGTTTACTGCTAAGTAATTAACGATAATTTATTCAGTGTTGTTAGATTACTCACAGCGAGCTGACACACACACTACTTAAATTACAAATGCGTGTGAGTAGCTTGCGTTCAGCTACCTTCGGCTTTTGGGGGCACGTGCACTTAGAACTTGTACGCATCCCCCGATAGCCGAATGTGGCCGAACTCATGGTCTCAGTTTTCCAATCATAGTTTCGTACGATATATTGGTGCATGTATGTGCATGCACTTTGCTTTATTATTAATTATTACTTAATTCATATTGTTACGGATTTCATAGCTATTTATTTAGTTAGTATTTTTTTATTTAGAATTGTAATTAGATTTGCTTCAGGTTGCCTTAGCAACTCAGACGATTTCTGAAAAGACAGCTGCGTTGGAAGGTTAAAAATAGAACAGAGCGTGCATTTAATATCCAATAAATAAATATCTCGTAATTGCTGTTGCCATCCACAAAAATCCAGATATTTATAGATGTTTCCAGTATATTCGAGAAATTAATTATAAAGCTTATAAAAACCGAGAACAAACAACTCATCTCAGTAGTAGCTGTAGTTCTAGCGAACTGTTTATTTACTTAATGCTGTGATTGATTTGTAGCGATTTCGCTGTGAGATAGAATTAGTTTCTCTGTTTTGAATTGAGTTTTGCTAAACGTTTGACATTTTGTGATATTGTTAGAATATTTTTGAAGAAATATTTCAGCATTTTGATTTATCTCTTGTGGAAAGGATAAATTTTTGTTAACTTTTTAAAGTTAACCGTATTTATTCCAGCCCTTTGTATTCAGTATGTCTATATCAAAACCAAGTGGTAGTAAAATTAAACGAAAAATCGCTGACGAACATAGAATATTCCAAGTAAAATGGGAATTAGAATATTTTTGCTGTGAAATAAAAGATAAAATAATCTGCTTGATATGTAATAATACTATTAATTCTCATACTCATATTATATAATGTTAAACTCAAAATTATATAATGTTAAACGTCATTACGAACAACACAAATCGAAATATAAAAATTACGAAGGATTAATGAGAGAAGAAAAGTTGAAAGAGCTCAAGTTAGGAGTGAAAAAGCAACAGTCCATGTTTAGTAAAGTATTGCAAGAAAGTGAAGTGGCGGTACATGCAAGCTACGTCTTGTCCGAGTTGATAGCTAAACATTCGAAAGCCTTTTACTGACGGTGATTTCATCAAGGAATGCCTGGAGAAATTGTTTGTCCTGGAAATGTGAAGGCTTTTCAATCAATTTCATTGTTTCGAAATACAGTTGCGGAAAGAGTTACTGATTTAGCCGCGAATTGAAGTGATCAGATCAAAGCAAAATCATCTAGTTTCGAAAGTTTCTCCATTGCCTGTGACGAGAGCACGGACATTAGTGGCAAAGCTCAATTAGCTTCTTCTCTTAGCAGTGTTTCTTCGTTCTTGTGACAAGAATTTTAACATTTTTGAGGAATTACTGGAACTAATACCGATGCCTGGTATTACCACAGGAGAAGATATATTTACTTGTGTTTTTGGACTTCTGCAGAAATACAATCTACCTTTGGCAAAATTAAATTCTGTAGCTACAGATGGCGCTCCATCAATGACCGGGAAAAGCAAGGGCTTCGTAGCATTACTAAGAAAAAATCTTAGTGAAATTCACGGTTCAAACATTCATCATATGCATTGTATTATACATCAAGAAGTTCTATGCACGAAAGTAATAAATATGGAGAATTTGTCATATATAAAAAAAGTTATAAATTTTATAAGATCTCGAGGTTTAAATCAGCGTCATTTCACTGCTTTCTTAAGTGAGTTAGATAGTGAATATTCGGGTTTGTCCTACTATACCAAGGTACGTTGGTTATCTTGCTCCAAGATTCTCAAACAATTCTGGGATTTGAAAGAAGAAATATGTCAGTTTTCAAAAACGAAAAATCAAGACGTAAGTATGTTTTACGATCCAATATGGATACAAGATTTATCTTTCTTTGTTGATATAACCAAACACTTAACCGATTTAAATTTATCGTTACAAGGAAAAGATCATATCATTACGAACATGTTTGACATAATTAAAGCATTCAAATGTCAACTAGTTCTTTGGGAAAAACAACTTAAAAATGAAGATTTGACGCACTTCCCGACGTGCAGCATGAACAAATCAAGTTTAGATGATACTTGTTTGTATCAAAAATTCGCAGAAAAAAGTGCAAATTTAACAACTGAATTGAAACGAGGTTTAATGATTTTAGTTCCCTCGAAGACAATTTTTTTTTCCTTCGATTTTCTTAATAAGTATTGACTCAGTACCCAGCCATATGCAAATGGAGGTGATCGAGATTCAATGCAACTCAAATTTGAAAGCAAAATTCATTGAAGTGGGCGTGCCTGAATTTTACAAATGTTTACCAGCCAGGTTTGAAAATACTCGAAAATTCGCATATGAAATTATTTCCATGCTTGGTAGCACTTATCGGTGCGAGCAGTTATTTTTAGTCATGAAAGGTAATAAGTCTCCTATTAGAAACCGTATTAATGATGCTCACCTTGGGTCAGCGTTGAAAGTTATCACTGCAAACAAAATTTCTCCTGAAATAGGTAAGATAATAGCAGAGCAGATATGTCAAGTATTCGGACGTAAACATTAAATTTTTCTTGTTCTTTTCTATATAAATATATATATATATATATATATATGTTATTATTGTATTATTCGAAATAAATCTACGTTTCTATGAATATTGATTTTTTTCTTTTGGCCCGCCTAAAGTTAAACCTTGTTTGTTTGGCCCAAGTGTACCTATGAGTTTGACATCCCTGGTGTAGGGTGTATGGCAGAGCAACCACAGATGGGCAATATGTTCTGCACGTTTGGAATCACCTTGTTGGAAATAAAAGTTGTAGCATAAATGAAGCTTACGGACGTTTTGTTGAAGAATATTCAAATAGACATGTCAGTCTGTTGTGCGATCAATGAACTCAAGATTGCCGCCACCTCAAGATTGCTCATGATTTGCTCAAGATTGTACTCGACATGCAACCGTCATTTTAGCATTCGTTTGCTCCTGCTTTTTACTGTTGCATGTTTTTCTCGAAACTCAAGCAACACATTCGACCAAAATGCACTATCTGTATTCAAATGCTGCCTTACAAAAGGAAGTATTCCTTTTCTTTCAATTATCTTTGCTGATGTATGTTTTTTTCTTTCTGACTACTCTCGATTTGTAACCCGTCAAAAAAAAAATCTGGGGTTAATTTTTGTAGGAATTACTTTGTTAAAGTAATGCTTGAAGTGTTGTTATGAGAGTATTTGAAGAAATATTTGGATTCACTTCAAAATACTAATAACTTTCCTTTCTTCTCCACGAATCAGCGTTTTTGGACGGCCACTTCTTGGTGCATTTACCACACTACCAGATGATATGAATCTGTGTATCACAGTTCTTGCCGTGTATGAACTCATATTCACTATGTCATCAATTTCTTTAATTATTTATTCTCATTATATAACTGAATTGTTATTTTTTTCTCTTCAGTCCTATTTTCCACACGCTTAGTAGCCATTTCCAAATTTTGACGAATTGAACAGAAATATTCGAGCTTTCAGGGTTACTTCTGGTAAACAAAACTATATCACATATCACTCTGATTTGTATTTACAGAATGATGCAATATAACTTAGTTTGTATAAAACTCAACACTCTGCCTTCCCTTCAATCCTTCATTTTCATGGGTTGAAAGTTTCTATTTATTTTTGTAACTTTATTAACTTGAATTTTAATTTAACATCTTATAATTTTAATTTATCATCTGTTTAGAATGTTATATTTAAAACATTCTAAAGCAGGACTTCTCAACCAGAAGGGAGTTCCCTCTTGAGAAAAATTCCATAGTTTCAGGGGGATGCGGTCAGTCTTTTATTTACTTGTTAAGAGTTTAGTTGTAGTTTATGAATACAAAAAAAAACTAATTTTATTCAGGCTTTGTTATTTATCAACATTTTCTGGACTTTTTCTTGTTTAATTTATGAAACACTTTTAAGGGAAATAATTATCTAGCAATGGTGAAGGTGTGCATGGAGGAAATAAGTTGAGACCCTTGCTCTGAAGATTATATAAATAACATATGTTTTGACAAAAATAAGGAATATTACAATTTTTCCTCCCATTCCTTGAGAAAAAGCAAAGTGTGCTTTCGCTTACGTCCATCACTGTTAATCAGGCATGACGTACTAGCATCATCTAGTGGTTCCTGCTTTCGTAACACATTAAAGATCTGTTGAAATGTCTCTCCGATATGAATGAAGTTCAGAAGCACAAGAGGGAGGGCTGCGCATTGATGAGACAGATCTTTCATTAATTTCCCTATCCTCAAAGTTCCTTGCTTCTCAATAAAAAGGTAATAATCTGATGTGGTCAGCACATGACCTCCCACCATTTCCACGTTTAAGGCATGGCACTGGCCGAACAGCAATGAGTTTTAAGTAAACTATCCCTTTCGACTGATCTTTTGAAGCCAACAGCGGCAGAGCGGTAAAGTCGCTGAACACTGGTAGTTTGGTTCGAGTTTCGAATCCGGCGAACGGGCTAGCTGCATGGGCGTTTTCATGGTTTTCCCCATGTGTAACGTGTATAAAAGCCGGTTTCGCTTAGAAAGTCATTCCTACCCTTAGGCAGATAGCCCTAATGTGCCTTGCCATAATTACTAAATAAACCAAACCAAACCAAAATGATCATTTGAAAATAAAATCTCACATGCTTAATATGGCTCAAACATAAACATTATTCTATTCTATGCCAATGATAACTATACATGCTCAGGTACAAATTAATGCTGATGTTTTGATCTGAAAATATAGCATCGATCGTAGTATATCCTCTACGTATACAGTGCTTCGGATTTACATATCAATGATTTAAAAAATCACAATATTTTAAAGGCAGCATAACTCAGAATTCCCCATTTAATGTTAAGTATTACCATACATTTATTTTCTGTTCGGTATTTATTTATATTTACTATATTATTTCTTTGAAAATCATACATAACTATAATATTTGATGGTAACATTCTTTTATTTGAAAAGCGATTCGACACGAAAGTAAAAATACATATTGAAGATAGAAACTGATACATTTAATTGCTTCATAATAAGAGCTCGTCTTCATAATGAGCTTATTCTCATTGCATTTAGCATAATTCTAAGAATACATTTAATTCTTATAACTGTAGTAGTATGTTGCTTTTAATCACATATCGGTTTTAAATACCAGATTTAAGAAGTTTTAGATTGTCTGGTAAGAAAGTCTGTTCAAAGCTTCAAGTTAAGCATCACTTCCGGTTAATGAATTTAGCTAAAATCTAATTCCTAATAATTTCTAAAATGTTATTCCTGTTGATATAAAAGTCTTAAATACTAAAATTGGAATGTTTTGGATTATAGTATTTTAATACAGTGTTTCATTGAAAACTACTATTTATTTCAAGTAAAGTACGACTTTCGGTTGTCCATTAAAGACTGCTATAAAGACTATTCAAGTAAAGTACCATTCCCAGTTGCCCAGTTTTACCCAAAATCTAATCAACTCTTTATATGAATGTAGGAAGCTCAAATACGGTAAATGAAAATTTTTGGAAGTTTCATACAAAACGAAAAAAAATCATCACACATGAGATAAGAGACATCATTCTATAAAACCATAGAGAGACGCAAGCCATTCTAAAAATAGCAAAAACGTGTTGTGGAGGTGGCTTATTCATTGAAAAATCACTATTGAATTCTTGAACCGAAAACATACCTGTCTTATTTATGTATATATAGGTTATACAGGGAGGTAAAAATTAAATTTGCCTATCTTTCCTAATATCCTTTTATAAAAAAATGTGGGTCTTCTGTGGCTATCGTTAAAATCTGAATCCTTTCATACTTTTTTTTAAATATTTTTATACTTTTTGTTAATAAAGTTTTATTTCCAAACCGAAAAGAAGAAGGAAACTCTAAGGCTTTTAAAACTGACAATTTTTAGAAGAGTTTTAATTTCACTCAATACTGAAAAATTTGGGGTTTTTTTATACCGGACAACAGTAGGTATAATAAATAGAACTTGGAAAGAGTAGGTATAATTTTAATTTGTTTACGGGTAAGCTTCACTTCAAGGCGTTAGATTATAGTTTGAAATTATCAGATTGCAAGGTTTTAAAATTAATTTGTATTTTTCTTATAATTAAATAAAACAAAAATTGTCCTACATGTTTTAAATTGATGAATATTTTGCATTATTCTCATATTTTAAAAAAAGTAAGGAATAAATTTATCTTACCATCGCGAAATTCATACAGCTTGACTTGAATTCCTCGGTTGCCCAGTATACATGCGCATAAAGAACCCACCTATAAGGATATAGCATCTTATAATAATTTGTTATTTCATGTTTATACATTTCATTCAAAATGTTATAATGAAGTCTTTAAAATTACACTTCAGTTAAATAAATGCAAGTAGGAAAGATTACTTTACAAGATTAGCAAACAGGCAGCTTCCTATTCTTTCACAATGTGATAAATTATTTTACGGAAATAGCAAATAGGCAGTTTCTTGTTCTTTCAAAACGTGGTAAATGCAAATAGGTAGCTTTCTATTCCATCAAAATATAATAGATTACTTTACAAAAATAACAAACGCTCTGTCAAAACATGGTAAATCATTTTGTAAGAGTAGCAAATAAACAGTCCTCCCCCTTTTTTTTAAATTGCGGTAGAATATTTTACAAGAGAAATATATAAGTGACTTCCCGTTCTTCCTTTCGGAAATACTCGCAGAGGGTCTAAAGCTTGAGCATAAATTCTGCCTTCTACGCAAAGCCTGGTATGAACCTTAGAGAATCAGGTTGGCAACACCCAGACTCTATGCGTTATGGTGCACGATTCTTTTATTTTTGACTAGGAATGGAGAGTACTTAAAGGAGGTACAAGGCTCTCTAACAAATCTAGAATTCAAATCTTGTACATAAACATTCTGGCATTTCAAAATCACTAGCAGAGTTTAAGTGCTGCAATACTAAGAAAACCGGCTAGAGAGCAATCTCCAGTCCAAAAAACGTAGCATCTTCAACAACAGATTAACTTACTATACCCAGTAAGGAAAGGGACAATTCAGAAGTTATAAACAAAAAGAGTCCTTGATAGGAACGATTTAGCTTGAGAGAATACGTAAGACTAACTTAGTGTTATTGATATTATCAATTTGGACTCATCTCTACTAACTGTCAGACTGATGAGGCACGTGGAAATTGTGGCGAAGTAAGTCATGGATACAATGTCAAAACTCCGAACTAAGGTGTATAAATTGTACTGAAATGTAATGCAAATAATGCTCTTCAGCTGCCCGTTGATCACTTTAGCATCACTAAGTTCTGCCTAACACACCAACTGGAAACCGAGGAAATCAGTTAAAGAATAAAATACGGATATTCCCACGCAAAGAATAATATGTTAGCAATTCAGATTAACTTTCCCAAATCTCAGCCAGCAGCTGCACAACTTAAAGTTGACATAGTGAAGTATGACATAGCGCTCCTACAAGAACATTTCTGCTTACACGGTAAACCTGTGGATCTCCCATTACATTGGTAAACTTTTGTAAGACTATTTTACAGCGCCTTGTTCAGTTCATAGCAGTAAATATAATATACGCTAATCAATTATTACAGTCCGCCACTGACCAAATCGACTGCTTACTGCATAATGAGTAATTGATATCGTTGGAGTTGAATTTGGGCCATTTTGATGCTATAAGTCAAGTTTAGGGCTGGTTACAGCCGAAAACATCGCGGCAAAAACATCGTGGACGAAAACGTCGCGGAGAAAACAACGCAAGGCGAAAAGGTCGTGCTACAAAACATCGTGGGAGAAAACATCGCGAAGAGAAAACATCGCAGTTCTAAAACATCGTCGTCGAAAATAAAGCGGTTCAAAAACATCGCAGTTTAAAAACATCGTCGTCGAAAATATCGTGGTAAAAAATAAAGTATCTACAAATCATCGCATGACGATAACATCGCAGACATGCTTTTTTCAGGCATGCTTTAATAAGTGAAAATGGATATTCCCATAATGATTTGTGAGCGCAAGATGGAAAGAAGGATAATTTTTACTTTCATATCTTTTATTAATTAATAAATTTTTGCTGAGAAAATAAAAAGGAAACTTAAGCATAGAAAATTAATGCAACTTATAGCACTTAATAGAATTTTAAACCGACATAGTTAACTAACAAGGCCATTAATAAATCATTTTTATAAAGTTTTTACTGGTAATATTTCATGAAAAGTATAATCTATAAGTTACATTTAATTTTCTATGCTTAAGTTTTCTTACGTTTTCAGCAAAAATTTATTAGTTAATAAAAAATGTGAAAGTAAAATTTATCCTTTTTTACACCTTGCGCTCACAAATCATTATGGGAATATCCATTTACAATTATTAAAACTTGAGAAAAGCATGTCTTCGATGTTATCTACGACGATGTTTTTAAACTGCGATGTTTTTGAACCGCTTTATTTTCGACGACGATATTTTTTGCTGCCACGATGTTTTAGAACTGCGATGTTTTCTCTTTGCGACGTTTTCTCCCACGATGTTTTGTAGCACGACGTTTTCGCCTTGCGTTGTTTTCTCCGCGACGTTTTCGTCCACGATGTTTTTGCCGCGATGTTATCGGCGGACACCTTTAGGGCTTCCCTTTTAAGGATCCAACAGGAGTGGGTCTCTTACAAGAATTTTTGCCTTCAAATGGCCTTTCCTATTGAAAACGATCCTGATAGCTCTCCAACATACTCTTGCAGTCCAGGAACAAACTTGATTGATAATGCAGCATACAAACAAAACTCTGCTAGTTCTTCAGCACTAAGCTGGACTGTTTTATATTCAGAAATATGCAGTAACCGTGAATATATTGAATTCTCTATCTCAGCTGATCTTTGCAACCACGGTTAAGGATGATAATACAAACTCATAAAATGGATTAGCTCCTGTCCCAGAAACTATATAATTTTCTCGATGAGAAAGACATTTCTCATATTCAATTAATTTGAGATCTAATGGACTTTGGAAGAATTGGAGAGCGGAAATACAGACAATCTATTGTCAAGTGTCATCCCTCAAAAAATGTCAAGCTGAATGCGTTTCATCGTAACACCACGAACCGTAACACCACGAAGGCATGTTGGAAGGAGAAAGAAAATACTTATAAAGTGATTAAAGATTACTGTATGATCGTATCATATTACGCGAAATCAATAACATGAATATGATCCGTCAACAGGGAAAAGAATGTGTATTAGAGTCAAATTCAGTACCCTTGTTCTGGAATATAATAATGAATTCAGCCTTAAATTTAGACCTAGGAGGTGAAGCCTATGTTCAAGCGTACGCTGATAGCTTCTTAATAATAGCAAATGGCAAAACTCATGTGGAATTATAATCAAAGGCAAATTAAGAAATAACTGTTCTATATAATTAGGCGGTAAAGCATAAATTAAAATTTTCCCCAAAAAGTCAAGTACAATTTTCATTACGAGAAAAATAAAGGCATAGCAGTCGCACCCACATTTAAACTGGATGAATCTATAATTAAGGATAAAACACCAGTTTAAATATCTGGAGTTATTCTCTACGAAAGACTTTCGTAGTTTCTACATTTTGGTTATCTAAAAGCAAAAAGAAGCAAAATAGAAAATAGCCTTCTCTCAATGTCCGGTCTACCAAAACCGATATTAAAAGATCTATATAAAAAAGCGATATAGAGAGTAATTATGTATACATGTTCTGCACTGTGAGTCAATCCCACAGTTAAAATCCTTGAAAAAGCTCTACCAATTGAAAGCGCAGCGCTATTTGCAATGACCAGAAGTCATAGAACAGTTTCAACCTCAAGTCATTGTCGTTAGCCTCCTAGTCGGTATAGTGGTTAGCTACTCTGACTGCCGTAGAGATGGGCGCGGGTTCGAATTCAGGAGGAGGAATGGTTGTAACTGTTCGTCCCTTCATAGGAGGCAACGGTGTCCACTTATTAGATACTTCCCATAATGAAATAGCCACGACTTCTAGCCCTTGTAGTGTCGCAAGGATAATGGCAATTAACTAAAGCGCCCGGCCAATTAAAAAAATAGTTATTGCCGTTATCCTCCCATTAGATATCCAGTTGGACTCGGAATGTCCCCTATAATGGACGATTCGAAAGCAGAATGATTGAAATATCGGAGCAATTCAATTTTTAAAGGTGGAGTTGGATTTACCAACTTCAATTTGGTATAAAAATCCAGGAAATATCAAGCCTTGCATATGGCAAAAACACTCCCAACGCTACAGGGATACGAAATTTTCACTGATGGTCCCAAAATGGACAAGAGAACTGGAGCAGCATTTTGTATTTACAAAGACGGCACTTTTCAAGAAGGGTTTTCTTATCAATTGTCAGATAAAAACTCCATAACTCCATATAATATGTTTCTAATCTTTCACTATATTGTTTCTCACAAGTATTGCAGTATTTTTCTTGGTATATTATAAATTGTATTAATAAAGAAGTCAGTGAGGCTATCACATCTGTCTAATCGAAATTGCTTATTCCAAATAAATGCGGCCAACATTAATGATATTTATCAAAAATTTAACTTTTTTTAGCCCTATGTCTTTCGGTGATACCTCTCCTTTTTGAGGTGAGGACCGAATTTTCCAGTACTTTGTTTATATTTCATTGGGCAGTTTTTCGAAACACTTTTGTACCTTAATGTTTATGCTTCGAAATGCTCTGATCTACATTTAATCAATAATCGAATTATTTGCTATTGTTACTATGGATTGCTTTTAGTTATTTTTCAGTGTTGTGTTAGCTATAAAATGAGGACCCGATTGATATGGGTATTAATAAAAGGTGTTTACCTTGCCGATGAGTTCTTGTTCGAATCCCGTTTAACGCAAGAAAGTTTATGACGTAAAGGCTTTACCGAATTATGGCGCTTAAAAACTGTCCATCCGAAAATTCTCTCGAGATGTTAAGAGTAAGTGAAATAGTATATTAGCCCATTGACTTTTCCAACCACTTTGGCGCTGTAAATCGAAGTTGTAGTACGTCTAAGCTGTCAAGTGAATTATTCATTCCAGTTTATTGGTAACGAAGTTCTGTTCATTTTAATACGGTATTTAGAGATGATTTTTTACATTATTTTTCCAAACAGAAGCTCATTATGAAATTATAAAATACTCCACAGATATTATCAAATTAGTTCATGTATTTTGCACAAGGTAAATAATGCATTACCCGAAGGTAAAAAAAAAATTGTAAGCTTTAAATATGATTAAAATAAACAGAACGTAATTTTTATTATTTT